CCGCAGAATCGGGGATTAAACTCAGGCCCTTGCGCTTGCCAGGGAAGCGCTTATTCTATTGAGCCATCTCCCCAGCCCCTAGACCAATTTTTATTTGTGTCACTCATAATTAATTGAACTTCATGATCTTAATTCTTTACCAATGATTAATATTGAAATACTGTTGGATAATCTCTTTGAATATTACCTCTCTTTTCTAAAGCTCTTATTTTAATACATTAGATCTCTCTTCCACTCTCTTTTTCTTAAATATTTCATATTTCTTTATCCCTGTTACTGGATTTTGGTTATTACCTTTTTCCCCCCAATTTAACAGTTACGTTGTCTTAGATATCCTAATCGGTGGTTTGTCTTTGCCCTGCATGTGCTTTTAAGTTTTATTTATTTCCTTTTATTTTTTATTTTTTAATTTTTTGGTGGAATCGGGGATTGAACTCAGGCCTTTCCATTTTAAAAACATCTACCTGCTTTTTAACAGAGTACTGTATTGTTTATTTATTTATTTTACATTTCTGAGCTGTTTCCTCTAATCTGAATAAGAGATTACTTAGGGCCGATCAGTCCCTCGGTTGCTTGCTCGCGGGGCTATGAGTGACAAAGACAAAGAGAAATTTCCAGAGAAATTCTCAGGAGGACCTGGAGATCGGTGCTTTTGGTTGGGCAAAGACACAGACCTCTCTGGCCAGCCTCCTTCTTTCATCAGCCAGCAAGAAGCACAGGGGGAGGGGCGGTGTCCTTTTCCTGGACCTGCAGCTGCCAGAAGAATGAGGTCGTAGATAGAATGGGGAGTGAGTTTGGTATCATGAAGGAAACAAGATCCTGCCCACACCTTTCTTTGTACCGTCCTCAGCAGGTGCTGCCTCTGCCGCACTGGGGTCAGGGTACTACAACTAAAACCCACTCAGCCAGAAAGCCTGCAGCCCATGTCTGCCTGGAGACTGCGGGCCCTGGGGTTTAGCCCCTCCCCCAATCTATCGCATAGCCTGGTCCCCAACAGAAGACTATTTTTTGAGAAGATGGTTATGTAACCAAGAAGTCAGGGTTAGCATGATAAACTGCGCCAGGGGCCGGTAGGCATGGAGTGCAGAAGGACCATTAAGAGCTGCCCAGTGGGAGCGGGAGGATCAAAGAGGGTGGCGTCACTGCCCAGCTCTTGGTGAAAATGAGCCTTACACTGCTTAGTAATGATGAAAGGGATGATGAAATGACAAGATTCTATGGTTGCTTTATCCTTAAGATGGCACTATAAACTCACAATTCCTTTTTAGAAAATGAGTACATAAGAATAACTGGTATTTATTCGAGATTTCATTGAGTCCTTACAAGCGAGGTTGAGTTTTGTATGTGGAGACTGCTCTAAGTACTTAGATGTCTCACGCATTTAAGCTTTATGGCACCTTTCAGAAGCATATGCCCCATTTTGCAGACTAGGACGCACTCACTGAGGCTATAAATGACTTGCTTTCAGTCACAAAGCTTGCAAGTGACAGAGCCAGAATTGAAATGGCGAAAGCTCAAATCCAGAAACCGCATTTAATATTCTTTATTAACTCTTTAGAGTAATCTGCATGCTGAAGTGCAGGAACAGGACTGGGGATGTAGCTCAGTGGCGGAGTGCTTGCCTAGCACGCTCAAGGCCCTGAGTTTAATCCCCGGTACCACAAAAAAACAAATAAAAAGGCAAGAAAGGAAAAGAAAAGAAATGAGAGATGCACAAACAATATAATCACCAATTAGAAAAACTATTTTTCCAGGAGCCGGGGAGATAGCTTAGTAGAATAAGTGCTTGCCTGGCAAGCACAAGGGCCTGAGTTCAATCTCCAGTTCCACAAACAAACAAACAAACAACTTTTCCAGTTCTGGTTAAGTTCTATGCAAAAACATGTTCCCTGCATGAGAAATCAGGGCACCCAGATCTTAGCTGTCAGAGAGCGAGAGGAAAACAAGGTTCCCCCCTACTGCTGAGGTTCATATTTTCCTTAGATCTGCCCTCTCTCTTCCTCAGGCTTCCTACTACGTCTTCCTGTGTACCCATGCTATCCTAGGCATGAACCATGCTGTGTGCTTAGTGTTCTGGGGTGTGTTGCCTAATTTATGTAAGGAACAACACAAGGCAGAGAAGACCAGTGGAGACCACCAGGCTTGTGTAAAGGCAACATGGTGTGGAATTTATTGTTCCTGGGTGCAGGCAGCCAGAGGATTTAGAGGTCAATTATAGGGAGCAAAGAGAAGCAGGCTTTTTAAAAAATATATATTTTATTGAGAAACAAATAGCAATGAGACAGTTTCAAAGCTGATTAATAGGGCAGTTTCAATAATTAATACATTGTACATTGTTATCTTCTTAGT